GGGTTGTGTGTGTGTGTGTGTGTGTGTGTGTGTGTGTGTGTGTGTGTGTGGTTTATGGTAGGTGTGTCTGTGTGGGGGGGTCATTCAAAAGCAGTGTTCTGTAGATGGAAGCAGCACACGTCTTCTCCCAGGGTCAGAAGCATCACAATAGCTTGAACGTGTATTCAGCGTTGTTCTGGCAGAACCACTCATTTAGTCAAAACGCATTCATATTCATTATCCTGAATAAAAGCCAGACTAAATGGTAATGTTTCTAGCTGTGCAGACACTCCGCTAATTGCTATGTCTGCTATCTAAAATGAAATGGCACTTACAGTGACTATTTAAAATAATTTGGAGCGTGACTATTTGAAGTTCAGTTCATTCCACAAAAGAAAAATTTAACCTTCTTTGCTTGCCATTCTTTTGGCAGTTATTTATAGATCCTGGCCATGTGTCAAATGTGGTAATAATGAGTCAAATAGTCTGCTTTTGAAGAGTTACCAGTACCATTAGAAATGTATTCTACTAATAAAATGTTATGTGAAACCCCTTTAAGTTCCATAAAAATACTGTGGTTTTTAAAATGAGGGTGGGCAGGGACTTGGGTAGAGGATGTTCCTATGTTTATTTTACAGATTAAAAATTTCTACTCAGAAAAAAGAGACTTTCTAAAAGTAAAGAACTGGTTAATGTAAGGCCAGAGTTGGACCCCAGCACTTCTGATTCTAGCTCTTTATTTTTTAAAATTACTTTGCAAGTTTCTCTTAATGCTACATGAAGATGGCTGATGGCAGAGGAAATTTTCATTTGTGTAGTAAATATCATTCATTTGACCAGAGTTTGATCCTCAGGACCCACACACTACAAAGAGAACTGACTTGTGAAAGCTGCCCTCTGACCTCCACACACGCACTGCAGCATAGATGCCCTCCCAAACAAATGAAGTAATAAATTTCTAAAAGTATGTATGATTTGTTCAATGTCCAAGACAGTACATTTGGTAGGACTAGAGCCACGATCCT